TCCTCCTAGAAGGAGGAGGAGGGGGAGGAGGAGGAGAAAGAAGAAAGACGAAGAGGAAGAAGAAAAAGAAGAAGGTAAAGATAGAAAATTATGAACAATAAAGTGACAACAAATACATATCTATCAACAAGTGAATCTAAAAATCAAATGAATAATAAATCTGATGAACAGAATAAACTGGTGAATGGAATAGAATCAGGGGCATGGAAATGGAACAAACTGACAATTCTCAGAGGGAAGGAGATATAGGGGGGAAGAGATTAGACGAAGATCTTATATGCATGTATGCAGTACCAATGGACACAGACAACAGGGTGGCAAGGGCCTGGGGTGAGGTGGGAACCGGGTGAAGGGGAGCTATGGGATGGGGGAGAGGGACATCTGTAATAATCTCAACAATAAAGATTAAAAACAGCATATTATGCTTTGATTGGTTGAACGGCCGACCGGACCACTGGACACTTAGCATATTAGGCTTTTATTATATAGGATAACAACTTGGATGAATCTTAAAATAATTATGTTGAATTAAAGAAACCAGATTAAAAAAAAGAAACCTCCGTATATAATTTCATTTATATAAAATCCTAAAAATTGCATGCTAAATCTTTAGTGTTTGCCCATGGGAGGACCAGGGTCATGAGAAAACTTTGATTGCTATGGAGGCTTCCATGGTGTGGATATATATTTATCAAAACTCATCAAATTGTGTACTTTAAGTATAAGATGAGGCAAAAGTAGGTTTACAACTGTGAGTACACAGTTTATTCTTGTAGGATTATTTATTGTATTGTTTTCCATAAAAAAACTGTAAACCTACTTCTGCCTCACCCTGTGTGTGCATTTTACATCATGTTAATTATGCTTAAATAAAGCTGTAAAAAATATTGTGAAACATGGTATCTTTTCAGAAAAGTACATGAAGAAGAAAGAGGAGAGGGAATGATAAAAGTAAAACTAAATAGGTAGTTGTAAATAGTTGTTTCTTTACCTTTTTAATTACTAAGGGATTCTCACTGGAAGTTTTGAAGCACTCCTTGATTTTTCTACAGGGCTCTGAAATGATATTGAGGGAAAATATACTTAGATCAAACTGAAAAAAACTGTCCTATCACATGCCATATATGTCAGTTGCTGAAATAGATGGAAGTATCTCTAAATTTCAGTTAAGATCAACCCTTGGATCTGTTTATAAATATTAAAAAATTCACAGGTAGAATTATACTACAATAACATAATAAAAGCATATCTATATTATAAAATGAATTCTATAGCCAGGAAGATGATATAAAGAAACATTGCAAGAGCTTTCTTGACCTGGGTAAACTGTTTTTGAAAGTACATATTTCAGTGTAAAATAATTTTTTCTCTGGTTCCTGGTCATGTAACTGTCACTTTCTCTAATTACAGAGATTGTATGTGTGCTGTTTGCTCTGTAGACAGAAAGTGAAGATGTATGCTGAGTTGTAGATTCTTTATTTGATTTCTTGTTTCATCAGTCTCTCAACCCTACACATTCCATACAGTCACCTAACTAAATCCCCCTAAATTACCCTAAAGCTACTTAAACATTTGCTTAATTTTCCCTTGCATTAATTAAAGATATATCCTGTTTATGTGATGCTATCTTTTTTACTAAACCCATAGTAAATACAGCAATTCTTTTAAAGGTGAAAAAAAAATTGTGTATCTACCCAATAGTAACTGAATTCATTACTTAGAGTATGGAAAACAAAGTCATGGGTGTGAATCTATTAAGAGAATTCTTGTGGGAAACAGAAACCACTCTAGTTATTCTAAGCAAAAATAATACAGGGAATTGGTTGTTTCTAATATCATTGGAAGGGCTGGATCAGTGAACTCTGGTCTCGACCCTTCATAAATCATTTCAAAAACAACATCGTGCACCTAGCCTACCAAGGAAGCACAGCCTTATCACAGGTAGAAGGGAGGGGAGTCAGGAGGTCATGGCCACTTCAGTGGCTATCACCACATCCATGAGGCTAAAGATTAGGCACTGGATCACTGCTACAATCCAAAAGCCATCTTATTGGCTGATTTTATCTTTTGATGCCTATAAATCCAGAATCTGAACACTGGGATGTTGTAGCAAAAAACAAAAATATCTTTGTCTCCAGTCATACTTGATAACAGACATAAACCAAAAAGATGACCTCAGCCGGACATCTGTGATATAAATTTTGCCAGATGGCAATACCTAATTCCCATCATAGGACTCCTACAATATAATTTTTAAATTCCTACACTTTACAGCATAAGAAGGGACACTATAGGAAGGTGGAATAAGTAGGCTTTGATTGTTCATTGCTGGTGGGAAGGTGGGAAGAGAAACTCCTAAATAAAAGATGAAATGAGTTAACAAGCATGCAGACCTTAGAATGGAATCACATAGTAAGTACTCTGTTAGTGATCCCTCTTATTATCTTTTGAAAGGTGTATATTTTACCATATTATACCAAAATAATTTTCATGTGCCTCCAAATTTTAGTAATACCGGGCAGGAGAAAGAGAACAGGATATAATTTCTACTATCCAGAATTCCTTCTATTTTATCTTGATCTTTAGATTTTGCCATATGTGCCTTTCTTTTATTAGTTTAAGGTGTACAACATAATGATCGCATAGCAAAATGATTATCACAATACACTTAGTTAATATCCATCACTTCACATAGTTACAATTTTTTCTTGTGATGAGAAATTTAAAGAGCTTTTAACTTTCAAATATGCAATACAGTATTGTTAACTATAATCATTATGCTGTACTTTTTAAAATATATTTTGGTTTATTTCAGAGAGGAAGGGAGAGGGAGAGAGATATAGCATGGTGGGAGAGAATCATTGAATGGCTGCTACCCCCATGCTCCCTACTGGGTATAGAGTTCACAAACTGGACATGTGCCTGATTGGGAATTGAACCGTGACCTCCTGGTTCATGGGTCAATGCTCAACCACTGAACCACATTATGCTATACTTTTGATTAATTTTGCCTCATTTCAATTCAATAAACATTAATTCTTTGAAGTGTTTATGAAAGACCAGGCACTGTGCTGGAAGCTGGAGAGATATCAAGAATGGCAAGAACACAGACTTTGCCATTCAGTGGGGAAGATGTAAACATGAAATTCCTTGCCTATTGCATTTCCCCAACTCACTTATTGTCTGAAGTAGTTTCCCCATCTATGCTGGCTAAAGATTCATTTTTGGTATCTCTTAACTAATTTGGAGGAACTAGAGATTAGAACCACACAAATATGTCTTGGATACAATGAATAATTATTATAATATTAACATTTTTGAACTACTGAATTGAAATTAGAGGGGTAAAACACTTTTATAATGAATAACCTATTTCACAGTGAGAAGAGTTCATGGCTGTTTAAAAATCACTGCAGCTATATTAGCAATCATATAGATTTCCATCCACTCACCCCCACCATTCCCTGATAGTCTGCAGGAGGCCTCAGGAAAGATTTCATCAGTTGAGCGGGACTCACCAGAATGAGGCCGTGGGGGATGTACATTGGCACTTTTTGGGGCTGGTGAGACTCCTCTGACTGGGCTCTCCAGGGCTGCAGTGCTGGGTGGGTGACTGCATTTGGCAAATGGTATATTGTCCGTCGTCTCTAAGTGGTTGAACTGGTCAACATCCCACAATGAGTTCTCATCATCCCTCACAGTACAGATAGGAATGTTATTCAAGCCTAAATAGTAAGGACAAGAAGACCAAACCACCAATTAGATTTGGGGCAGGTTTTTTTTTTTTGAGTGATCAGTAATATCCCACCCAATTAGATGTTCTTAAATGTGCATAAGTTGTATGAACCACTGCGAGTCTTTGAAAATCAGTGTAGCAAATTATATTTGCAATACATGCTTCCTTGAAATAGCCTGCCATCTTGTTAGCCTGAGAACCAGATCCACATCTTTCATCTTGATCTGAGTCAAGTGAGGTAGGTCTGCCTCTATTCCAGACAGACCTCTCATTTCCCAAGTTTTGATAATGACTAGGAGAGATTATGTTAGCCCTCTTCATGAACACCAGATTGAGATTTTTTGAAAGCATCTAGAATGCCTCAATGTAGAAAAGCATCCTAAAAGACATACACTGGCTCTTCTTTTGTACTGGTAGATGGTGAAAAGCTGTTGGAGTTAGGAATAGGAGGCAGGGTAAGGTAGATTGTGAGGGAAGGAAGGAAGGTGAATGTGGTATAAAACCTCCTTTCTCATGTCAGAGTTCTGGGTTCATTCCCTCTGCTGTAATAGCTATTTGCTTTTGGCTCAATTATTGATTTTTATACAGGCCGTCTTTTCAGTACAATACTATGCCATGTATGTCGAATTGGACAGCTTAGGGAATGGGGACATGCAGGGCATTACTCTATGTTAATCGGTGAATTATAAGAGGTGGTGGTAGATGGTTGCTTTGTTTCACAGGAAGGGTCTCAATAGTGGTTTCATATTTGCCATTCTTCTGAATTTCCCTCTGGTACAATAGGTCCACACCATTCTTATCTGCTCAAATGACATCAAAAAGGTCTTTGCTGAAAATACAGCCCATTACACTCTATCTCCCTTTGCTCTTTTATTTTTCCCATAGCATTTGTCACCTGGCGTATCTGTTTGCACATTACTAGGCTGAGCTGCCCCAGAATAGAAACTATGTGAAGCATGGACTTTTGTTTCATTTTCTGCCCTATTTCCAGTATCTAGAATGGTGCCTGGCACAAAGTAGGTGCTTTATGATTATTGTTAATAATGAATAGATAACATAGCCAAATGCAAAGCTTTGATTTAAGCTAATACTTTGAACTTTACTTATAGTAACTTGTTCCAAATAGAAGTGAGAATACAATTTTTGAAGGTAGCATTACTTCTTATCATTTTATTTTAAACACCTGGGTTTAGTGATTGATCCAGATGCATAGTGAAAAATTGTTTATCAAATGAAGCATATAACATTAACAAAGAGACAATTAATGTAAAATATCCTATTTTCTGTCTGCCTCCTTTAATTATAAAAGATGTGTGTGGGTGTGTGTGTGCCTTTCCCCCCTCCATCCCTACCTTTTTTCAATTTGTTTTTCTTGTTCATTCATACATTTTTTTTCATTTTTATAAAGAACTTAGATTCCATCTTTCTAACCAAGAGTTAGGAAAGGAGTTAGGAATAGGAGGCAGGGTAAGGTAGGGTAAGGTAGATTGTGAGGGAAGGAAGGAATCAAAATGTGTAAAGTGTCAAATGGACTGTCATTAAAGTGGTGTCAGAGTCAAATGGGACAATATTAAATGATTTAAAGCTAGTCACAGAAATATGAAATTCAATCCAGCAGTGAAGGAGGTTAGCAACAATTTTGGTGGGAGTTTCATTTACTTCCTTGAATATACAGGAGAATTAGGTAGTGGAATCTTGGGCCCAAGAAAGACCAGCTGCCCCTTGAGGGAGTCAAGTTTCTGTACGACCCTATTTTCTTTAGAGGCATTGTCTTGGATCACGTTCCCTTGAAATAGAAGCTGGGATGGAGAGTTATGTGAAGAAAATTTATTGGGGAGTGTTCTTGGGAACAACATGTATAAGGAGGCCAGTGAAGCAGGATTGGGCAAAAGTTGAACTGCAATACAGTAGATACCATAGAGGCCTCAGTCAGTTCCACAAGGAGCAGTGGATGGCTCTGGGGAGGTGCCTCAACTCAAGGCAAGGGGGTCAGGCCTTTCTAACTCCCATCAACCTCTCATTGGTCAAACTCCCATTGTGTATGAGAGCTCCCTTGAGCTTCGAGCAATTCCCAGAGAGGGGCTCAGTGTAAGCCATCAGTTGTTGACACACCTGGCAGGTGGGTAGCTGGGTGCCTTGGTCCTGAAGCCATGACCTAGGTAGGTGGTTGGTGCACTATAGCATGTACTACAGTAACTGTTGAAGCTTGTGACTAAATACAGGGTGTCCCAAAAAATGTATACATACTTTAACAGCTGATTGCTCAATTTTGAAACTGAATTGCCTTTATAATTATTCAGAGAGTGTGTATACATTTTGGGAGGACAACCTATATTTTTATTTGATTAGTATCAAATATCTTCCACTAAACTGTGAGCTCCTTGAAAATAGGAGGTGTGTTTGTTTTGCTCACCACCATTTCAGTTTCTCAAGGAATGGCTGCCACATGGAGGTGCTAAATTCTTGTTGAAGGAAAGGAGGGAGTTTTAATAACACCCAAATATTTTGTAGAGCCACTGACATATTTTAAACATAATTTAGAGATACCTCAGCCATCCAGTAGTTGTGTCCTTGAGCAAGTGATTTCATTAAAAAATCATTTGTGCAGCTGTATGGTACAAGTAGAAGTGCAGCAAGCCTCACCTGAGGTTGGGAGATCAGTTAAAAGACCAACTCCCTCATCCAAGTAAGAAGGTATGAGGGGGATGGGCCAGGGCAGAGAGCAGCACAGAGAAAATTAAGACAGAACTTGAGGGTAGAGCAAGAGGAAAGCCCAGATGAGAAGCACAGAATTCCTAAAGGAGATTAGGAAAGTGAAGGCCAAGGGAAAGCAAACACATGTTAAAATAAAGAAGTCATAATGTCCTAGGAATCTATTATCTTGGCAAAAACTGAGGACAAGGTCTTTAGCAACCCACATGAGAAAAACATTGCATTTTAATCGCAACTTCCTTCTTCTATGAAGGCAAATACTACTAAGTATTTAACTGAATATAATTTTTTTCTGATTTTAAATGCTTGAAAGTACTGGATATATCCCCCTCCCCCCCTTTTACATTCTTCCTTGAATTATCATGTCTATACCGCAATATAAAACTGCTGGCAAGGGACTGACATTTATGTCTTCAAATCCCCTACAATGTCTACCACAAAACCTTGCTCATAATCATATATGTTCACAGAAATATATGTTCAACTGAATAAAAAATTTTCTTTGGAAATCTTTTGAGGCTATATCTGCTAATTCTAGAAATCATAACTGGAATTGAAATGAAAGAGAAGAGCAGTCAGTTCAATTTCAAAGAGCAAAATTTGAGGTGCCCATGAAGCATCCAGTGTCTCACATGTAGGTCAAGTGGACAGTTAAATATAAAGGTCTAAAGTTTAGAAGAGGAGCCTGAGTCTAGGATACACATTTGAAAGTATTTGCCCTACAGAGGGTATTTGAAACTTGTGAGTGGGTAAATTTGACAAGGCTCTCAGTAAATTAGAGAGAGAAAATGGTCAACGACTGCACTGTGGAGGAACGGCAACATTTACTGCAGAATCAGCAAAAATAAAAGCTGGGAAGGAGAAACCATAGAGGTAGGAGAAAAAATAAATGCACAGCAAAACAAACCATAAACAAAACAACAAGAAAGCCCACTGCAGGGGAGAACGTATTTGCCAATGTTATCTTCGATAAGGATTTAATCTCCAAGATTTATAGGGAACTCATACAACTTAACAAAAGGAAGATAAATAATCCAATAAAAAAATGGGCAAAGGACATAAATAGACACTTTTTGAAAGAGGACATACAGAAAGCCAAGAGACATATGAAAACATGCTCAAAGTCACTAATCATCCAAGAGATGCAAATCAAAACGACAATGAGGTACCATCTCCCACCTGTCAGAATGGCTATCATCAACAAACGACAAGTGCTGGC